TGCGTGTTTTTCATTTTCCATCATACAGCGTTTTTCTGTTGCATTTGCTTTTTTGTGTTTGCGTGTTTTTGAGTTTGCATCATACATGTGTTTGCTGTGCGTTTTGCCGTTTGCTGCGTGTTTGGCCGTTTGCTGTGCGTTTGCACCCGTCAGCCACCGTATTTAACAAAGAAAAGAGTTCCTGCATTAGTCTGTGTTGACAAACCAACCATGCCCATGTGTTTACTTACTTTCTCCCTCCTTGCGGTCAGTGCCCGCAGCGCCATCTGCCACTCCGGAGGTCCCAGAGGAGGAGGCAACAGCAGCAGCAGCCACCAGCTCAGTGAGGGGCCCAGCCAGGTTGTCTATGCTGCTGGCAGCTGACAGACAGGAAGGCGTGGAGGCGGGAGAGATGACAGAGGCGCTGACCACTGTGGCCTGCGGCTTAAAGCAGCTGGGCAAGGCGTCTGGTGGCATGGCGTCCATCAGCAGTGCTCGAATATCATCCGCCTGCAGAGACACCAAGAAATGATGCATGTTAGTCTGCCTTCAGGCCCAGGCCTCCCTTGCAAAAGAGATCTGTGATCTCAATGGGATTTGCCTGGTTAAATAAAGATTAATAAAATAAGTACATTCATTATTTAATTAAAAGAATCCTGATTTAAGCTCTAATATATTCTATTTATTTCCCAACAGACTGACCAGTTTGATGAGGCCAGTAAACAAATATTAAGATCAAATCAGTCTTATAATTCAGCAGCCCCTACCGTGGCCAGGTCCAGAGCAGTCTGGCCCTCTTGGTTCTTCATGGTGGGGTCAGCTCCATGAGCCAGCAGCAGTGCACAGAGCTGTGTTCGTCCTTTCTGGGCCGCCTCATGGAGCGGTGTGAAGGCCCATTTGTCCGTAGCATTCACACACGTGTTGTACTTGATGAGCAGAGCTGCTATGTCCACATGCTGTGAGGAAGAGAGGCAGCAGACTCAACTTCAACTCTAAGTGTACATTATGAAAACTACAGAAGAAAATGACAAGCGTTAAGATTTTGTTTGTCTTTATGTTGCAGAGACTCACCCCATAAGAAGCAGCATTATGAAGAGGGATGAGGCCTCCCTTGTCCTGAGCATTGACATCAGCCCCATGCTCCAGCAGATAATCTGCCACCTCCAGGTTGTTATATCCAGCTGTACAAACAAAAGTGTAAAACACTTAAAAAAAAAACAACAACATACATCTAGAAATAGTATTTATGTATTTTGCGCAATATGCTAATTTAATAAAACTCAAAGGAAAGAAGAAGGGAGCAGAATAAAACTCTTTCCCCTCATGTTAAACACAGTGTGTGCAGTATTAACAGAGTAACACACACTCAGAGCTGTCAGTACCTGCCAGGTGGAGAGGTGTGGAGTTGCGCCCCTGAGCGTCTCTGCAGTTGATGTTTTCTGGGGAGCAGAGTTTCTGCACTCTGGCCAGACAGCCCTTTTTGGCAGCGTCCAGCAGGGCAGCATCCCCCCGCAGCAAGTCCTGGATGTCTGTGTCTCCGTCCTTCACCATGTCCAAAGGAATGTTGCCGTCTCTGTTCTTCTTGGTGGGGTCCGCTCCGTGCTGACAAGAATCGTTTTAAATTGAATCTATTAAACACACTGTTGATGTGCAGCGTGATGCTAACAGGACTGTTCAGATGACAATAAATTCTCCTCACTTTGAGAAGCAGTTTGCAGATCTCGTATTTCCCTTTGGCTGCAGCCTCGTGAAGTGGGGTGAACTTCCACAGATCTGCCACGTTCACTGAAGCCCCGTGTCTGACCAGCAGCTCAGCCACCTCATAGTGACCATAGGAGCATGCGTTGTGGAGGGGGACCAGGCCGCTGATGAGAGGAAAACAGATGTGATCTCAACAAGCCATCGAGAGTGTTAAAATGAAATGTGATGTCACAGAAATAAAGTAGTTTCACTAATTCAGAAAGAAAACTAACCCCTTATCTTTGGCGTGAACGTCAGCTCCATGATGAAGCAGGTATTCAACAACAGCCACTCGGTTGTAACCAGCTGCAAAATGCAGAGGAGTGGAGTGGCGCCCCTCCAAGTCCCGACAGTTTACGTTCTGGGGGGTGCAAAGTTGCTGCAATACAAAGTTACAAAACAGTAATCAGTAATCCACCTGACAAGTTGAAAGACTACCGTACTTGTCGCTGTATAAGTCGCACCGCTGTCTAAGTGGCATCAGTCCAAAAATGTCTAATAAAGTGGAAAAATCCATAAATACGTCGCTTCTATTACGCGTCACCACTGACAACCTGTAAATGTGGGCCGGTGTTGTGCCAAAATCGATTGGCTGCCAAAAGGCAGCTGTGGGAGCGTGCACGGGAGGACTTTAACAAGATTAACACTTAAAAACAATTATTTGTTTGCTCGAAATGACAGTAAAGGTGTGTCTCAGTCTAACTTTTCTTTAATAAATGCACTTTGACGATCAAAGCGTAGAGGGAGAGTCGCCGTGCATTTCTTTAAAATTTACCAAGATAACCACCTAAAAACAATTATTTGTTTGCTCGACTTTATAGTAAAGGTGTGTCTCAATTGAACTTTTCCTTAATAAATGCACTTTAATGGTCAATCAGCTGCATTTTGCCTTGGTGGCGCAGCAAAATGCAGCTGATCTGATGTTTGCTCCAGGAGTTCTGGAGCGAGACGAAGGTGGCTTGGTATGACAAGACGAGTGTCTCAATCAATCTCAATAATCAAAATCAATAAAAAAAATCAACGATGTTGTTATGACAATGAGGAGTCTTGGTGAACTTACTTGTACCGTGTCCAGATCTCCTGCTTTGGCAGCTTCCAGAAATCTGTAGTCCACATCAGAGTTACGTGTGGGAACATTTTCTGAGGGAAAAATTCAAAATCTATATAAAACAAATATATGAGGACCTCTGCGTAAAAGACCCACAGTAACCATTTGTACACTTATGATCCAACACAAACTGCACCTAACCCTGAACAAGAAACCGTACAGCTCAGTCAAACCCAAATGCATGAATGAAGATGATTATTACCGTTAAGAATCTGCTGTACGGCCTCGTTACCCATCTGCGCTGCAGTGAAACCCTGTAAAGACACAATGGAGGGGTCGCCTCCGTAGCTCAGCAGCAGCTTGCAGGTCTGGATGTGACCAGCCAGCGCCGCTCTGTGGAGAGCCGTCTGCCCGAGTGTGTCCACTGCGTTCACCTGCAGCCAAACCACAGCAGCACAAAGTGTTAACGTTTTAAAACTGACTTCTCCACTTCAGGCAGAGCAGGATGAAGGGTAAGAATGAACCTTTGCTCCGTGTTTCTGCAGCACCTCCAGGATGTCGTTGTGAGCTCTTTCAGCAGCAACGTGCAGAGGAGTCATGAAGCTAAAAGACAACAAAATTATCAATATTTATTTCAGCACTTTGAAAATCAGATCTTATTTTTCCTTCAGTCTCATTTCTTCACTTGCAGAAAATGTGTGGATGTTTGTTAAAGACAATTATTCTGTATTTAACAAGTTATTCTAATAGTGTTCAACTTACTCTTTGTTCTTCTCATTGATGTTGGCACCTTTACGCAGTAACAGTTCAGTCACCTGTTTTCTCTTTGGGTGGGGGGACGCCACAGCACAGTGCTGTAATGCAGGACATTAGATTAGTGAGATGAATCTTAAGAAACCTGCCAGCTGGAGAAAACAACTAATATTTACAAAAAGCACTAGCATGAAACCACAGAACTCACAAGACTATTTTCATTCCTCACAACTGTATAATCAGGAAAACGGTCAAAACGTGAAATCTTTCATGATTAAAGATCTTTGCATTTTCTTGCAGCTCTTAAAAGTGAAGAGTGGTTAAAATGGAGTTTCTGACCAGAGCCGTCTCGTTGGTTTGAGGATGTTTAAAGCCGATAATCTCCAGAGCCAGCGTCTTCTTCACTTTGGCCATGTCGGCTTCACGAGCCGCCTGCAGCAGAGAGTGACCTTTGAACTCATCTACATGAGGGGAAATAAGATGAAAGGAAAAATTATTTTTATTTAGTTTTAACTAATGCTAAGTAACTTAAGAATATGAATAATTTGCATTAAAAATAAATACAGAACTTTAACAGAACTTTCAAACTATAAACATCTTATAAACAGTTCATGCACTGCTGAACCGATGAGGCAAAAAGATTTCAGAGTATTTTTCCAGAGCCGTGACACTCACAGGTGAGCCTTTCTTTAAGCTCTGGGGTGGGAGCCATGTCCACGGCGCTCTTGCTGTGACAGTTCAGCAGGGTGGGATCGGCCCCGTGGCTCAGCAGCAGGGAACAGACCTCCACTCTGTTCTTGGACGCTGCTTCGTGGAGAGGCGTGAACTGCCACAAGTCCATGGCGTTCACGCAGGCTCCGTGCTGCAAAGAGAACAGCACACACATAAGAAGATGGTCTAACTTCCAAATTAGCTCCTAATTATAACTCCTGGTAAACATTTCGACCCAGTATTATACAAGAATAACATAAAGTTGCTGGCAACTAAATGAAAAACAAAAGAATTTCTACAAAAACATATTTTCTCCACTGACTGGACACATTTGACCCTTTAACTTCTCACAGGCAAAATGTTGTAAAATACAGCAGCTTGTTCCACTGCTGTCAACAGGTTAGTCACCGTTACTCCAACATGCTTTGATTTAATGCTTATGCAACTTGTTTAAAAGCATCTTTAGGACAGTTTCGCTCATTTTTGCACTCAACACTGTTACAGCAGAATTCAGACAAGTTCATAAAAGTGTGAGAAAGTCCAATAAACTCCTTACTTTAAGGAGAAGCTCAGTGACTTCGTAGTGGCCATATGAGCAGGCATTGTGGAGAGGAACCAGGCCGCTGCGTGACAAAGAAACAAGGTCAAAAATAATCATGCACAACTGGATTTTGTGGGTTTCCCTTAAAGAGTTGCTCACCCTTTATCCTTGGCGTGAACGTCTGCCCCGTGTTGGAGGAGGAGTTGTACGATGCGGACCCGGTTGTAGCCTGCAGCCAGGTGGAGGGGCGTGGACTGGAAGAGAGGACCAGTTGTTAGCACACACAGACCACTTCCTGCCTTACTGGTGCATACTGCCTCTGATGTCCACAGGGAGGCTAGCGGCTGATTAAGGCCAGAAGCGATGTGCTACTGCAGACTGTGCTTGGTGAGTTGCAGATGAATCACAGGCTTCATGATGCAAGTTCAATAAAGCTTGTGGACAAATCCCACAACAAAAATTCTGTTGCTGTCAATATCATGTCTGACTTGAGTGTGACAACAAGCAACTTAGTCCTTGTTACTAATAAAACCTAAAATTGAAATTCTAAATTTGAAGTATGGTTTATGTGGCGAGCTGGCAAAAAGGATTAGTTAACAGCTTAAAGTCAAAAAGACTGGGTGTAAATTACAGTTGGGAGACAACAGCCTTTCAGCATTTCTCAATGAAGCCAACAAAATAATGTTAGCTAAAGACATTACAAAAATACTTTAAATTATCTAAGCCAGTATCTCATGTATCTGCAGCTATCAGAGACTCTGTGATTCAAAATGGTGAAAAAAATAGGCCAACATTATAAGTATTTGTCCTCAGACTGGTTAGAGCTACACATTTGGGCCTTGGATGTTTTCTGAATAACAACAAATTGCCAAAAAGAAGAAATTAAAAAATGCAGTTCTAGTCACATCGGGCATTTAGCTCCTAAAATAAATAATATATTTTACCTAAAAACATAAGCTGGGTAGATTGTGCATTCGCTACAAGCAGCATCTGCTACAACACACCCAGAGTCCCTGTGACTCGTATGTATTGAAGCACGGACTGCAGGAGTTGGAGGAAAAATAACTAATTGTAAGCTTTTAATGTGTGTGCTGTGGGTTCACCCTGACATCTAAAGGACAACACTGCTCTTTATTGCTCAGTCTAACTAAAATGCCACTACTTGTATCCATTTTATTCCCATTTAACCGACGAGATGAGTAGGCAGACCTCGAGTGGCATCGAGCTCTCAGCCCGTGCTGATGTGACCAGAACTGGGGATTTGGGAGGTTTGACTGTCCATAAGGAAACCTCTTGTGGCGTTGAAGGGAAGCTCTGCACTGCAGCTGTGTAGCTACATTCATTTGGTACAGATGGACATTCACAAAAAACTCAGTTACAGTGTGCTTGAATTACAGAAAATAAATGGAGGCACTTGTCTGACTTTATAACTATTTGGAGAGAAACTCAGCTCTGCAGAATGTCTGAACATGCTCCAAATCCAGACAACACGGACACACGTTCCTGCAACTCAACATGATGAAACTGAAAACCACCACAAATCTATTGGGATAACTTGGAAACTCCCTTGCGAACACCGTTTGCTATGTGGCGCAGCACGGTGAGACACTGGCTTTAGATTAGCAATAACTTTAATATACCTAAAACCCTTTTGGATGTTAGTCCAACAGAGATGCATTTACACAGATTTTACACTTTACTTTTTAATACTGTAATGCTATCAAATCCCAACTGTAACAGGATGCAGTGAAGCTTGATTGAGCAGGCCGAGTGTTTGAAAAAGCACATCTGCAAGCTCCAAGAGGATAAAATCAAAACAGCTTCAGTTAAGCCACAAAAAATGTCAACATGAATATAAGCAAAGCTGCAAGTCCCAACAGCAAGGGCACGAGCTCCTTATTTAAAACTCTGGCTCTTAAAAAGCTTATAATAAGAAAAAAAGAGAGGCATCATTTAAATTCCCATGCAGTGACGTATATGTTAAACGCAGAAAATTAAGTGCATCATATCGAGCCACAGCGGTGACAGACTGTTGAGTTATGCTTCATTCAGTGTGGGATGACAAGCATCATGACCACAAAGGGCAGCATGGCATCAAGAAGATGGATGAAATGTGGTCCATTCATTACTGCAAACCAACTGATTCAACGATAAACGAAGGCACAAGCTCCACAGACACAAACTTATGACTCAAATGACAAAACACTGAGAGGCGGGCCTCGGGGCATGCACGAGAAATCATTAAAAAAAAATAATAATAAAATAAAAATTAGATGCCCTGTCAGAAACGGGCTGACTCAGCAAGTGATTTACAGTCAGAGAAGTGTGGGTGAGTGTGCAGAGAGAAGACAGACGCCGATGAAAGCAGGCAGTGGACATTTTGAGCTCCTCTCCAGATCCAAAAAGATGAGTCGTCGCCATGACAACACAACTCCCACACACACAAACATTCACACACACTCAGACACCAGAGGAGCATCAGGGTAGGATACATGAGTGACCTGAAAACCCAGGGCCATGATGTGCAATTAACAAGTGACAGCCAGCTCATTGGTCAAATAAAAAGGATGAATTAAAAAAATAAAAGATCACAACAGTGCATTAATCAAGTGGCCATTATCAAGGTCAACTTACCAGCATTTTTTGTGAGGTTGACTGATCGACAAATGTTGCCAGAGTCACACAGAAAACAAAATGAAACACAAATTACAAAATGACAGCATCTCGTCAGAGTAATGTCCCTCTCCCTTTAAGTTAATAAAACACAAACCACAGTCAGAAAAACAACGCCTGATCTGTCATATATGACCAGAACATAAATGTGACATAAAAGGCCAACAAGGACAGATGGTGGAAGGTGAGCGACACTTCTTCAGTGGTTAGGATGAAGCTGCAAACTGTAATTAAAGAGTAATGACTCCTGTAGCAGGAAGGAATGAACATTACAGAAACTATGATTAAATGTTGTCAATAAGAATGAATTTGATGCTTAACAGTGTTAATAGTTTGTGTTTTTAAGACCAAAAAAGACAGCACAAATGAAGATACAACAGTAATATTTTTTTGTCATCACAGTAAAGTCTGATGGATAAAAGCAGAAATCAAAAAGTGGAAAAAAAACAAAAACATTTTGCCTTGAATAAAATCGATGAATAAATAAATACATCCTTTGTTGTTTAGAAAAGCCAACCCGGACTTCAAAGTGATCACCAGGTGTGAACTACAGAAAAGTAGTTTTACTCTGAAACCATTCAACCACAAAACAAGGTAAATAAAGAAAATGACCATAAGAATCATGTTTAATAACTAACATTTCTTATGTAGTAGGCATGTTTTAATAACATCAATGAATTTAGGGGAGGAACAAAAAAAGACAAACGATGACTTATTTGCCTGATTTTAGAAGATTCTTGTTTGTGCACCTAAATCAGTTTCAAGATCCCAGGCAGGATCCCATGTCCCAGGACAGGCTTAAAAAGAAGCCAGGAATAAATAAATATAGATAAATGAGCCAGGATGAGACCAGATATAAACAGGATGGAAAATATTTCACTTAACTGTCAAATTAATGTGTCAACATTAATTGAAAAACAAAAACTGTTGAGAATGTGTCTTTTTTAATGTGGTGAAACGCTGTTACTGTTTAAATAAAATGAACAAAAGAGTTAAAAACCACAATTCAGAATGATTAAAATCATGACTTATTATTAAAACCATGAATCAAAGACATTTGTGGTGACAAACAAATGAGGCTGTTAAACGTCAATGATTCAGCCGAGGTAAATAGATGCATTTAAAGCATGTATGTTAGGGGTGTCACGGTACACGTGGGTGTATTGAACCGTTTCAGTACGGCACGTTCGGTTCGGTCCATGTGCAAATTGTTGCAGTTATTTTTTTACTCATTCAATTTTATTAACGAGAGATTATGCGCCGCGGAACTGAAGTTCCTAAGCGTGTTTCAGCACGGCGCTATTATCTTGCAGCACGCGCAGCATTAGCAGCCTAGCATCTCGTTGTGGTCTCCTGTTTAGGAACATTATGTCTTTCTTGTTAAAAGACAAGTGAACAAATCCAAAGCTGTGTGTCGACGTTGTTTCATGGAGAGTGGATCTGCAGCAGCAACACGTCGAACTTGTTAACGCTCTTGAAACGACATCATCCGAACGTGAATGTCTCTTCTAGCAGCTTGTTGCAAAGACCGATAACAGCAGCATTTAAACAACCTATCAGGTCGTTCAGATCGGTCCAGAGCAACAACACAAGCTGTAGGAGTTTTTGAAGCTCTGGATCTACGTCCGAATGTTGTTGATGCGCCGGCTTTAAAGTTATTGAGCCCCGCTACGACATTCATCACCTCAACACTTCAGTCAAAAAGTTGTAGCAGCACTTTATGAAGAAGCTAAAACTGATCGTCAACAAGCCCTGGACCAGATTAAAGTCCTGCCCTGATGATGATGATGACCGAGAGATTCAACCTCCTCATAACAACCGTTCCAAGAAGAGGTAATGTTCTTTTATTATTATTATCTAATTCACTTTTTAAATTTAAAATTATAATCTTATTAACTCTTTTTTTTTTCCTCTTTGTGTTTTATTTCCAGTCTGGGCCAGAGACAGCAGCTGAGTCTTCTTCCTGTTCAGGGAAATCCACAAGAGCTCACCTCCAGCTAAGAAGTCTGTGATGACTGAACTCTGAACTTTTCCAGGGACCTGTCCCACCTGTGGGACCAGGTCCAAGAGGTTGTGAGTAATGAGGCCAAATACAGCCACACTGCTAAATTATCAAAGCTCTACCTCTTTATTCCTGCTACTGTTGTTAGTGAGAGGTTTTCTCCACCGCTGGAGATAATGTCACTGCAACTAGATCTGAGCTTTTGGCAGAAAATCTGGACAAGTTGGTCTTTTTGGCCAAACACTTAAAACTTGATTAGTTAAATTGTAAACAGTCTGTTGCTGCTTATTGTTCTGGTTCTGACTGTTATTGGATTTATTAAGATTTTCATTATTGTTAGTAAGAATGCGCGATATCTACGGTACAGGGTAGAAACGATAGAATTTAGCCTATGATAGAGATCTGTCTTCTACTGGCTAACCGCAGTAATGCTGTGTCTGATGTAAAATCAGAGTTGTCAGATTTGTTACTTTTTTTTAGTTGAAAACTGTGCGTAAGTGGTGTTAAAGTCTTTTGGTTGAGGGCTAAGTAGCGAAGCTACAAGCTAACTACAGCCGGCTTGCCGTAGAGTTGCCGTATTCGGACGCATGTGCAAAACGCTGAGTTCCGTTGAAAGTTAAAGTAAGCGTTGGTCAGCTTTAGCGAAACCTGCTCTCTGATCTGTGAAAGAACGCTGTGTTGTGTGATTTTACTGCGAGACCCTCTGGTCAAAGCCACAGAGTCATTTTGTGTCAGCTCTCCATTAAAGCAGAAGGAGGCGCCCACTAGAGGGTTGGAGGTGAAGTGTTTCAGTTGCTGCTCTGTTGCTGTTCATTTATTAAGTGAGAAGACTGGAAACTGTTGAGTTAACAACATATTCTTTTGTTTAAAACATATGGCTAAAACTACATTTGATATATTTTGCTCTATTTTGCACAAGAAGAAAGAATCCTAATACTTGATTTATTATTTAAAAACTCTCTGGACCTAGTAGTGGAATTTTCTTAATTCAAAATATATGATGGCCAAAGGACACCCTATGCTTTTTTACATTCCTATTGCAAGTTTTATACCAAAAACATATCATGATATATATCGTTATCGCCACCCTTAACAATACATATCGTGATATGAAGTTTATTCCATATCACACATTCTTAATTGTTAGTATAGTTTATTTATTGTAAAGAGTGCTGTTTATTTAAAATCTCATCCAAATGGGTCGCTTTTATTTATTTTTATACAAACGTATTGTCTACTTGGCATATTTTCAAAATAAACATTTTGTACGTCTTCATTTTGTCTTTTTTTGTACCGAAAATGAACCGAACCGAGCCCTCCTTGAAACTGAGCCGAACCGAAATGTGATTTTAGCGTACAGTTACACCCCTAATATATGCGTAATTACAATGAGCAGGGGCAACAGCAAGTGCACTATGCAGTGCAGTGATGTGTCTGCTAATGCACCATTAAAACCCCCTCCAACAAATTCAACAGCGTAAATCCTCTTTACATCCCCAGCACACAAACTAATCTGCAGTCCTGCTGTAAGGAGCATTCAGAATGTTGCCCTTTTTAAAAAGATCTATTAAAATCAAAAGTATGACCGTTTTACAGCCTGAAACAACACAAGTGACAGACTGCAGGGTGTAACGCTGTAAAGCACGATCATCTCATTTAATTTACCTTGCGACCATCACTGGCATGACAGTTGACATTTAATGGAGTCAGCAGCGCCATCAGCTTTTCTTCATTTCCACTCCTGTAATTAGAGGTTTGAAAAAAAAAACAACAACAAATATTCACCTTTAAAATCCATATTCACTCAGGTTGCCCATTTTAAACATTCATTTTAACCGGATTTTTAAACAAGTAAAAAAAGACACACCTTGCTGCTTCCAGAAGTTCATCCTTCTTGTATTCACCTTCAGACAGAAAATACACTTAAGATTCATTGAGTACTACTACTCAAAAATGTATCTGTCAAAACAATACAGACCACAACAACTGTGACTGGTCTACTAGTTGTTTTTTTAGAAGCCAGTCCGTAACACACGGATCTTTGTAAGCAAACTGAATGAGATGCTGCTGACACACACGGTTTTATTCAGACAGCATTTTGGGTCAGCTGCACTAACACTTTCCTTTCGTACGCATTTAATTCATGAGTCTGCACTCTTAAAGAAGCACTTCAGAAGTATGGAGCAATTCTCCTGTTTTTAACCAACACCCATATTGTTTTTCTGCTTGTGTTATTAAATAAAGAGATTAATCCAAGCCCCTCCATAATCAGCACACTCTGTCTACGCAGTTACGTTTTGAGCTGCAAGAAGTCAGATACAAGTCAATCCCATGAACCCTTGCAGGTTGGAGCAGCTGACTATATTTACTGTGCAAGTTCTGGGTACAAACGGACTTGGACCAATGTGTTTGCAATCAATCAATCAATCAATCCAATCTTATCTATCAATGAGCATATCCTAATTTGCTTTCATGTGCCCTGATAACAAAGACATGATGTAATTACCACAAGAACGCCAACACAAGTATTTGAATTTAGCATGCAGCCATTTGTTGGTTTTAAGACATTACCAGTGAGTATATTGTTACCATTTTTAGAGGACAATGGTATCACTGAGCTGTTTCAGTCTGGGTTTAAAGCCCGCCACAGTACAGACAGCACTTTTGAGGGTTTCAAATGATATATTCTTGTCCACAGACTCCGGAAAGTTTGTTGTTTTAGTGCTCTTAGATTTGTCTGCTGCATTTGACACCGTTGATCACAGGATTTTAATCTCTCGTCTCATCTTGAGCACTGTGTGGGCATCAGGGGTGTCGCCCTCAATTGGTTTTGGTTGTATTTATCCCATAGGAGTTTCTGCGTAAAAATTGACAATTTTATGTCTTCCACTGCTCCTCTTCCACATGGTGGCCCCCAGGGCTCAATCCTTGGCCATCTTTTATTTGCCCTTTACTTACTCCCCCTCAGCTCTATTTTCAGGAAACATGGCATTTCATTTCATTTCTATGCTGATAACGGCCAGATCCATTTTCCCATGACACAAAACAACACATTCCAGCAACTTACACACTGCCTTAATGATGTTAAGACATGGTTCTCTCTTAACTTCCTTAGTCTAATTGAGAACAAGACTGAAGTTACGATGTTTGGACAGAGTTGCTGTCCCTCTCCCAGCATAGATCTTGGCTCACTGTCAATTTATCTCAGGGACTGTGTCACCAATCTGGGGGTGAAGTTTGAGTTTGATTTTAGATTTGACAAACAGATCAGCAGTGTTTTTTAGAAAAGTTTTTATCAACTTTGCCAAATAGCAAAAGTGAAACCAATCTTAGCAAGACGTGACTTGGAGAAATTAATCCATGCTTTTATCACAGCTCGTCTTGACTACTGTAATGCGCTGTATGCAGGCATTAGCCGGACGTCTCTTGCTCGTCTGCAGCTTGTGCAGAACTCTGCTGCTCGCCTGTTAACTCAGGCCTGTAGGCGCGAGCATATTACTCCCATCCTGGCGTCCCTTCATTGGCTCCCTGTGCACTACAGAATTCATTTTAAGCTTTTGCTGTTTGCTTTTAAATGCTTGAACAACCTTGCCCCACCGTATCTGTCTGAGCTGCTTCAGCCTTACTGTCCACCCCGATCCCTGCGATCAGCTGATCGGTTGCTGCCGACAGTCCCTAAAACTAGGCTGAAGCTCAGAGGTGACAGAGCGTTTGCTGTTGCTGCTCCCAGGTTGTGGAACAACTTACCCTTGAGTGTCAGACAGGCCTCCTCTCTTCCTGTTTTTAAATCTCTTTTAAAAACACACTTTTATTCTTTGGCTTTTAACACGTGATCTTATCTTTTATGGCATTGTAAAACACACCTGCCATGAAATTGATATGTGTATGTTTTTATCTAAAAAAGTTAAATCTGGTCCTCTGGACATTCAAAAAAAAAACAAAAACAAAGCAAAACAACAAAAAATGTAGAAACGTTTCGTCTCTCGTCCGAGAGACTTCTTCAGTCTGAGGTGCTGTTTTCAGCTCAGTCTCTTAAATAGCACCTTCTCAGAGTGGATCAACCAGTTTTGCTGCTGACAGACAAAACCAGCTGATCACATGCTCAAGAAGGACCATCAGCCTAACAATGGATCATTAGCACACTGATGGCTGTTTACTGTTCACAGAGGGCTGAGTGATACTAGCAATCACAGCATTGTAAGAGGGGGACAATTGAACACGTAGGCCTCCACCCCCGTTTAATGATGGACGGTTTCTTTTCACAAAGATGGCCTCCTTTACTCCTCTGTAGTATGACATATCCTGAGATATATTCATACATTAAACGGGTTCACTCATCTTTCTGGACTGTATGATGTCGTGCTTTGAATTTAACAGAAATGTAATAAGTTTAACGTGAGACGTTATTTATCTTTGACCCATCAAAATGAATGGAGGTCATTTATTTACAGAATCAAAGTTTAACATCAAACATTTACATTAATTTGGCAGAATATGAAAATAACAACATAATTAATCAGCTTTACAACCAGGAAAACCATACGGCCATGATTTTCCGTTGCTACACCACAGACATTTCTGAAAACATCTGGATTAAATTTCTAGCAGAAAGGAGAGTTTAAAGATGGAAAATTGAGATTTATCTTACAGAGAGATGTGTGAGGGAATTTGTCTGTTTTAACCAGAACAGCACGCTCTTTTGGAAATCAGCTTGTCCCACAGTACACTTTTGGTGAAGGTCGACTTTTACCTTTTCTGAAGATAGATCAGTTCCGGCGTGGAGTCTCACTTCCAACCACTGTTCAGCGTCTCCGTGAGAACAGCTAAATACCTCGAGAGCCGTGCGAGGTTATCCAAACAGAAGTTATAATTCCCAAAATCGTCTCTGGTTCAGCTTGATTCTAATACAGCAGCTTCCATGAATGCCTGCGTTTGCATTCTGGAACTCCCAAACTCTCTGCATTCTGAATTCCAAAAACTCTGAACTCTCTGAGCTGAACTCTCCTGTTGAACTCTTCCACCTGAACTCTTCTTGAACTGGGAAGTGCCGATATTTTAATGGGCTCTACTTCCGGTTCATTTGAGAGCTTTTGATTGGTCGATGGACCAAAGCAGAGGTGTGGTTTGTGATGTAAGGTGTTATTGAAAGTCAAGGAAAAGATTCAGATTGTTTAAGAACAGACAGAAAGATATCATGGAAAAACCAGACTTCGTGGAGTCTCCCACCAAGTATCTTGCTGTAAAAGTTAAACATGACATTTCTTTTCAGTAAACTTTTCAGTTGACCGAAGCTCGAACTTTGACACACTTACAACTTTGCTCACTTCAAAGCAGACAATCAAGAAATTGAATCATTACTCTGTAACGTACTCTAACTTGATTTCACTTGAATTGAGGATTAAGAATCATTACTACTGTTTAAGTAAATAAAAATGAGTAGTTCACTTCAACATGTAAACATTGTTTGAACTAACACAATTTGATTATCAAAACATTTGTAAAATAGTAATGATCATAGAGAATTGTCTTTTTCCACTTGATTAATTCAAGAAAGAAAGTCTCAGGATGGGTCAAACTGTATTTCTGGATTCAAATCAATGAAATGACAGTTTCTGTCCATCTGGTCAGTTTTGACATCAGGCCTAGTCCACTACACCTCTCTCAAACCATCGTTCCTCTCTGTCCAGGATGTGAACATCTTCATCCCTGAAAGAGTGACCGCTGGCCTGGAGATGAGTGTAGACCGCAGAGTCCTGGCCTGCTGATGTTGATCTTCTGTGCTGGGCCATCCTTTTGGCCAGTGGCTGTTTAGTTTCCCCGATGTAAGACTGATCACAGCCCTCCTGACACTGAACAGCATACACAACATTGCTCTGTTTGTGCCGGGGGACTGGATCTTTGGGATGAACCAGTCTTTGCCGTAATGTAGTTTGGGGTTTAAAAGCCACTGGGACGTTATGTTTAGAAAATAAACGTCTCAGTTTCTCTGATACTCCCTCAACATATGGAATGACCACTGGTCAGGGTCTGGGTTCCTCCTTTTCACCTGTTGGCTGACTGGAGTCCTGTTTGGGTTTCTTCTCTGCTTTCAGGAAGGCCCAGTTAGGATATCCACATTGTTCTAGAGCCTGTCTTATGTGGGATTTCTCCTTCTGCCTGGCTCCTGAGTTAGTGGGGACGCTGTCTGCTCTGTGATACAGAGTCCTGTTGATCCATTCTGAGAAGGTGCTATTTATAAGACTGAGCTGAATACAGCACCTCAGACTGAGGAAGTCATTCGGGTGAAAGACGAAACGTTTCTACATTTTTGTTGTCTTGTTTGGTTTTGTTTTTTGAATGTCCAGAGGACCAGATTTAACGTTTTTAGATTTTTTTACCTGGATTTTTGAGCATGCATCAGGATGTGTTTTTATGTTTCTTTGTGTATGCTTTGTATGTTTTTATTGTCTTAATTAATTTATCTTTTTGTCTTATTGTACAGCACTTTGGCTACCCTTGCGGTTTTTAAAATGTGCTATAGAAATAAAGTTGATTAATTTATTGATTGATATATGGTTTAATGTCTGAATTCACAGACATCAGATATTGTCACTCGATTCTGTGTAATTTTACAAAAAAATGTTTTATTGCAAAAATAACAACAACAGACACAAGTTCAAAGACGTGCGTCATTTTAGCTGACTTTCAAAAGCCCAGTGTCAAATTTAACAAAAAACTCGAGCTGCACAATATTAGAAAATCTTACATTTAAAATGAAAAGCACTGCTCTATATCTAAACAAGAGATTTTAACAGTGAAGAGCAACACTGTTGGTGAATACTTTAAAAATCGTCACTGCTTATGAGTCAGTTGTAATGTGCAAGGAGACAATCAATACACCAATTATTTCGGTGTAACGTCAAATAACTGGGATTGGTCCACATGAGTGATAAGCTGTGAGGGACTGACCTGTAAGAACAGCCTTGGCTGAAGGATCCGCAAGATCCAGGGCAGATTTACCATCAGTGTTCCGAATGTTTGGATCAGCTCCGTGCTGGAGTAATACTGAACAAGAACAGGTGAGATCATTAAAAAGCCTTCAGTTTAGGGTCTACTGCTCTTTATTTTGTTGAATTTATGCATCAAGGACCCTCACCTATGCAAACGTCGATCTTTCCCTTGATGGCTGCCTCGTGTAACGGGGTGTAGTTCCAGTTATCTCTGGCGTTTGGATCTGCACCTTGACACAAGAGGAGGCTGACGACCTCTGCGTGTCCGAAGGAGCAGGCATTGTGCAGGGGGATGAGACCTCCATCATCCCTGGCGTGAACGTTGGCTCCGGTCTGCAGGAGATGCTCGACCACATCTTTTCTTCCAAAACCTAAAAAAAGTAACACATTTTAGCTTTTCTCTCTAAAATGCTGCAGGCAGACTAAAATGTGACAGTCAACACCATTAAAATCCCTTTAGTACAACCACAAACAAAATAAAATTACATTTACAGAAAAAAATATTTTAAGTCCAATTTTTTTTTTATCCATTAGAAATAATTCAGGTTTCCTCAATAAGCTTTCTTGGACTTTTGATTTGCTTGCAGTAAAATATTAAAATCTGATTAGTAAACTTCTTAATTTATTGTTTAAGTGTTCAGGAATATAGTATAGTTTGTTTAAATGTACCATATCTACACAAATAGAGCCACTTTAATTTGACAGGATTTATAACAAAAAGCTTCAGCACAATCACTACAGATTTAGCTCAGCTGCTCAAGTTATTCAATAGTTCAAATTCTCTCAAGTCATATAAAACATGATTTTAGTTTTAAATTGGGGTTTTAGCCTGCTTTACAGTTTTCTCTCTTGGTCGGATCATTAGTGTAAGAGCTGCCAGTGCAGCTTCTGTAGATACGAGCTGTCAGATAAAGTCACTGCAGTGCACTTTTGCAGAATTCACACAGCGATGTGAGCATGCATCAGGGCACACGGTAATTTTATTTTATTTTAAGAAAATAAAGTCAGAACTTCTCGTTAATGTGTTTGACTCACGAGGAAAAGAGCTGATCATATCTTTGAGGTGGAGGTGAAACAAAGCTGACTGGCGTTCTCTGAGAACCTCCTTCTCTTCACACAAGCTGTTAATTATTTTGTAATCACCAGCGTGAGCAACTTTTCTCTTGCAAACACAAGAGTTTTGCTCTAATGTCCACTTCAGTCAGTCCGAGCGTATCAGAGCCACAGAGTGCCTGCCGGACACTTTGTAGAGTTTCCTTCAGTAATTTTAGGGTGACATGTCTGCAGCTGTGGCAGTTTTCATGAGGGTTTGCTTGGCTGCTTTGACGCCATGTGATAAAAACACTTTTATTAGTAACCAGGTGACAAAAGAAGAAGACATCTCAGTCTTTATCCATCTCAGTATGAATACTTTGACAGAAGACTTTAAAAACTGGGCAAATGTATCTATTTTTTCTAAGATATATTTTGTGGGAAAGGACCAGGGTTTTAATTCTGGCCCTTCTGTGACAATCCCGTTGAGATCATAGATCTCTTTTTCAAGGGAAGCCTGGGTCTGAAGGCAATTTAAACGAGCACAAAACGAGTATGAACCCTTGAATTAGAGCGACACAGCTTTAATGAGAAGTGAAAAGGTTGTGTACAGCTGAAGAACCATTTTAATGTCTGCAGAGGTTCATGAGACATCAGACAGGAGGAGTGCCCGTCAGTTGAGTTTGTGGAAAAATCTTTTTCTGGCGAGCCGAGTGTTTTGTTACACCACCGTACTCATGTTTCAAACAAGACTTGAGGCAATTCAACTCGATTAGAAATTCTGAAACTGCTCTTATGTCCAACTCTAGAAAATGTCAGGTTCAAGTCTACATGGAGTGTCCAGTCCTGGTCCCTGTGGCCCCATTTTCCAAGGTTGTGCTGCAACACACCTGAGTTGAATCAAGGGCATCTGTAAAACATGAAGCTGTAATTCGTCTACTGACTCAGGTGTGTTGGAGCAGAGAAACAGGTCAGACATGCAGGACAGTGGCCCTGAGGACCAGGACTGGACACCAAGACATGCCTGTTGAACCAAATGTAAATTTAACTCCCTTCTTTCGTGCTTGTTATAATCAACATTAAACGTGAGCACGTTAATAAAGCTTTAAACTCGCACTTTTAAAGCTTATAGTTGCTGATGTAGCCTACGCTGTTTGCTTATATTACTTATAATTTATGTATGAAATCAAGTAAACCCCGAGGGGTTTATTTTCTACTGTCTAGATTTTATCATGTTGTAATTTCTGTTGTTAAAAAAGCCACGAACTAGGTTTACGATGCCAGATAAAACAAAATGCGAATGTCAAAAAAGCGCAGGCGGACTAAAATACTGCACATAAACATGTTAACAGAGCTCGTCAGCGGTGAACACGTCGAGTTTACATTAGCTTGTAAAGGCTAATAACATTAGCTCCTGTTAGCTTAGCTCATGCTCACCCGCAGCAAAATGAAGCGGAGTTGATTTTCGACCAGCCATGTCCTTCGCGTTTACGTTCACCGAATCCACAAGTCTTTTCACCCGGGACACGTCGCCGTTTCGGCAGGCCTCAAACAATTCCCTGAACGCGCCGCCGACGCAGCTGCTGCCGTCCGTGGGGCTCGTCGCTCCGGAGCCGGGGCTCGAGACGCTGCTGCCGCCGCCTGAGGCCGTCGTGGTGGAGCTCGCGCTGCTCGCTAGGACCGAGACTGGCAGGTCCGGGGAGGCCAGAGCAGCCTCGATCCCTCCGCTACATTCCCTCTCGTTCTCCGCCGAGCCTACGGCCGGGGACAGCAAGGCCATAGGAGGCGAGACCGGAGAAGCGGCCGACAGAGAGTTGTTTCTCGGTGGAGACTGTAGCGTACTCGGCTGCTGCTGCTGCGAGGAGCGACGACACACCGCCATTACGGCAGCTCTCTGCTGGCGACTAGATGTGCGGATCGATACCGAACCATCGATAGTATCGATACCAGAGCGCCGTGCACTACAATCGATTCTTAACTCAAACTATCGAAACTTTTGATTCTTCCGTCATTTCAGATAATGCATGTCATTGACAGGAAGGTAGCTGAAAGTAAACTCTTGAAATCTTGTCTAAATTATATAGTTGGGAACTACTTTTTCTTCTGCCAGTGACGCGTAATGCATGTAAGCGGAGCGGAACACTGCTTGTTGTGGTCAGTCAGACTGTAAACATAAACAATGGCGGAGCGTACACAAAGTCACGTGTGGAGCTATTTCAGCTCCAAAAACAACCTGTTTGTGGAAAAACTGTAAAAAGCTGTGGCATATGGTTATGAAATAAGTAACACAATAAATTAATGCTCAAACAAATGGTTTGCATGAGTTCAGTTGGGAGTAATAATATGTTTATCACTGAGATAATCTCAATTGGGCAAAACATATTTATTCCTAAGGTTTCCTAAAAAAATGATAATTTAAAGTGAATTACATAGACAAGGTGTCATCAAATTATACAGAGCAATGGAGATAAACAGCCTTGCTTGGTGAACTCTGAAAAACATATACAGTAGTAGAAAATATCGATTAAAAAATTAGTCTTAAAAACATCTATTATTTACAATTTGAATTTATATTACTTCCATTACTGTGCAATTATTGTGGCATTTATTTATTTAATTAAAAATGTAACTGGCAAGCAGCACGGTGGCACAACTGGTAGAGCTGCTGCCTCTCAGCGAGCAGGTCCCTGGTTCAAACCCCGGTCCAGGGGCCTTTCTGGGTGGAGTTTGCATGTTCTCTCCGTGCATGCGTGGGTTTTCTCCGGGTACTCCGGTTTCCTCCCACAGACCAAAAACATGCATGTTAGACTGATTGGTAACTCTAAATTGTCCCTAGGTGTGAGTGAGAGAGTGAATGGTTGTTTGTCTCGTTTGTCTCTATGTGGCCCTGTGATGGACTTGCGACCCGTCCAGGGTGTACCCCACCCCTCACACAGTGATTGCTGGACATGGGCACCAGCGACCCCCGTGACCCAAAATGGAATAAGCGGGTAAAGATAATGGATGGATGGATGGATGGATGTAACTGGCAATTTCAATTTGAGTCACCCAGTATTATGAAAGAGGAAGTGTTTGTATCCCCTAATTGTAGGTTCTTTGGAGGGACTACATACATAGTTGAATCTAAATCAGATTAAGCATTCAGTGCATAGTAGCCAATAATTTTTTCCCTGTAATTTATATATACAGGTCCTTCTAAAAAAATTAGCATATTGTGATAAAGATCATTATTTTCCATAATGTAATGATAAAAATGAAACTTTCATATATTTCAGATTCATTGCACACCAACTGAAATATTTCAGGTCTTTAATTGTTTTAATACTGATGATTATGGCATACAGCTCATGAAAACCCAAAATGCCTGTCCCAAAAAATTAGCATATCATGAAAAGGTTGTCTAAACAAGCTATTAATCTAACCATCTGAATCAACGACGTAACTCTAAACACCTGCAAAAGATTCCTGAGGCTTTTAAAAACTCCCAGCCTTGTTCATTACTCAAAACCGCAATCATGGGTAAGACTGCCGACCTGACTGCTGTCCAGAAGGCCATCATTGACACCCTCAAGCAAGAGGGTAAGACACAGAAAGAAATTGCTGAACGAATAGGCTGTTCCCAGAGTGCTGTATCAAGGCACCTCAGTGGGAAGTCTGTGGGAAGGGAAAAGTGTGGCAGAAAACGCTGCACAACGAGAAGAGGTGACCGGACCCTGAGGAGGATTGTGGAGAAGGGCCAATTCCAGACCTTGGGGGACCTGCGGAAGCAGTGGACTGAGTCTGGAGTAGAAACATCCAGAGCCACCGTGCACAGGCGTGTGCAGGAAATGGGCTACAGGTGCCGCATTCCCCCGGTCAAGCCACTCTTGAACAAGAGACTGCGTCAGAAGCATCTCACCTGGGACTGCTGCTGAATGGTCCAAAGTTATGTTCTCTGATTACAGTAAATTTTGCATTTCCTTTGGAAATCAAGGTCCCAGAGTCTGGAGGAAGAGAGGAGACACAGAATTCACATTGCTTGAGGTCCAGTGTCAAGTTTCCACAGTCACTGGGGTGCCATGTCAGCTGCTGGTGTTGGTCCACTGTGTTTTATCAAGGGCAGGGTCAATGCAGCTAGCTATCAGGAGTTTTTGGAGCACTTCATGCTTCCATCTGCTGAAAAGCTTTATGGAGATGAAGATTTCATTTTTCAGCACAACCTGGCACCTGCTCACAGTGCCAAAACCACCTCAGCAGTGCCACAAGCTGATTACCTCCATGCCACGCAGCATTGAAGCAGACATTCATGCAAAAGGATTCCCGACCAAGTATTGAGTGCATAACTGAACATGATTATTTGAAGGTTGGCGTTTTTTGTATTAAAAACACTTGTCTTTCATTGGTGGGATGAAATATGCTAATTTTTTGGGACAGGCATTTTGGGTTTTCATGAGCTGTATGCCATAATCATCAGTATTAAAACAATTAAAGACCTGAAATATTTCAGTTGGTGTGCAATGAATCTGAAATATATGAAAGTTTCATTTTTAT